ATGGCACGTCACACGTAACGCATAGTGTAAGGGATGGCACGTCACACGTAATGCATAGTGTAAGGGATGGCACGTCACACGTAACGCATAGTGTAAGGGATGGCACGTCACACGTAACGCATAGTGTAAGGGATGGCACGTCACACGTAACGCATAGTGTAAGGGATGGCACGTCACACGTAACGCATAGTGTAAGGGATGGCACGTCACACGTAACGCATAGTGTAAGGGATGGCACGTCACACGTAACGCATAGTGTAAGGGATGGCACGTCACACGTAACGCATGCTTACCATCATCTAGGGAGCAGCTGATTTTCGATCAAACTCAAACTCAAAATCATTTATTCAGTCTAGGCTGTTTACAACCTCTTGTCAACGTCAACTCTATGCCACCGGTTTATAAATCTACGGCGGGAGACCTTGTACTGAGAAGAACCGGCAAGAAACTCAGCAAGGGCTATTTTTTCCCCCTGTTTTATTTCATACAGTGCTCATAAACAATATTAATTGTGGCACCAAAAAAATAATGCTACATAGGTTGTCAATAATTATCTTACTAAATTTCACGGCTAAGTCAACATTACTGACTTTCAATTTGCATGCTATTAGCAATTCAGTGTTAACACCGTATAGTCAACTGCGTATTTTTTGCAATATTTGCCAGTTTCCTAAATATAATATTATAAAAGTGAAAGTTTGTATGTTTGTCTGTTTGTTTATCCATCATGCAAATATTACTGAACGGTTTTGAATGAAATTTGGTACGCATGTAGTTTATATGATACTTGGGCGCCTAACAAAAGTGTATCAAAAACTGTTTGAGTGGCGCACATCACCTAATACAGATAATATTAACATATTTGTTCAAATGACCACGTTATATCATGGCAGTAATGTTCACTGTCAATATTATGTAAAACGCCATGATGGTTGCATAATTTTGTTACTTTTAAGGAAGACTTATTAGAAAGAAATACGATCCTTATGTTTTTTAAGTATAAATCTGGTGTCATTTGCACAGATTTTAACTTAGATTAAAACGAAAAGGAAAGAAACGAGACTCGCGGCTCAAAAGTGTACCACTTTAATTATGGTGCATGAACACACACAAGTCACAATTTGACATCCAAACACGCTGCATGTGCACTCAATATAACAATATAACAATATTGCGTATATTCTGTGTCATAAACAGTGCCTTCGATGCTTTTTAAAAGATCGCAAATAGTTCAACATTAAATAACAAATCGACGGCAACTATAAAAACATTTTTTCAAAAATCACGGTTTGTCATGAATATTATTTACTTATTCGCCATTTGTTATCAAAAAAAAGAATAACAATATAGCTCAGCCGTTTGTAGAGCGAGAAAAGAAAACTCAGTCGGCTGCAAAGCGAAGCGGTCTGTCTCGCTCGCTCGATTGAATGTTTATTAACAGACGTGTGCGTGTGTGAGTTGCTTATGTAGTTGAGCATATTTTATATAATGCTTTTTTGTTGTAATTTAAGGATTTCACCCGAACAATGTCATTTGCGTGGCGTTGTAATCAAAGCGCGGTCGAAACGCGTCTGTATGAAAATTACGCACAATAATTTTGAATATTTATTTTTTGAATATAATAAATGCGTGCGTAATTTTGCTTACGACATTTTTTGAGTGCGATTGTGAGTTTACTTGTTTTTATAAATTGATAAATAAAATATAATTCATTTATTTCCAGCAACATAACTCATAATCAATTACTAAAGAAATAGGTACATGCCACTTAAAAATATTAGTAATCATTAATTTAATTTAAAATTAATTCAAAACAGTAGTTATTTCATTTGATATAATTTAAGTTAAAGATTAATTATGACACAAAGAAAATAATAAATTACATAATATAAAATTCATTAATTTCCATTAAATAAAAATTATTAAAAATCAAATTTATACGTTGATGCTGCTTGTATTACGAATGTACGATTTCTGGCCTGCGCAGCCGAGCGAGTTTATCCACCAATATAGATCTATTACGACTGCATTTAGTAACGCACTGGAGGGACGCCGAAAGAACGGACAGAACAAAAGTACGTGGGAGTCTCTGACAAAATAGAACGCATGGGACTAAGCGCAGCACAGGGAACTTTAAACGGTTCAACTGAATATTTTATTTTAAAACGTCATCTTTTTTTTATTAAACTTCAAAAACAACAATTTCTCGGTGGGCATTGTTTCACGATTCAGGATTTTTTGTCCTCTGCGGACAAAAGTCCTTCATCTGAGCAGGCCATATGTATGACTTTAACGGAACTCGATCAATCTGACACGATACTTTAAAACCATAATTTATTGTGATTCGCATAAAAAATATGCTCTGCAATAATTTATCTTATGTCTAGAATAATATTAACTTTTTGAGGTTATTAATATGTCATTTTGCTACATAATACTCTGAGTCACACACTATAATAACACGTCATTGCATTTTTTCACAGACCATAAGCACCTTTTTTTTGTATTTGTCATTTTTGTAATAATAAACATAGGAAATTTCCTTGAAATATCTGTGTTAGACGATTATTAAAAAGTTTTGTTTAAAGTTTTTGCAATCATTGTAAGATCTCTGCCGCATAAAGTGCCACATACTTAATTAAGTTACGTGCATGAAGTGTAGTAAAAATATTGACTGATCAATATTTGTATGTATATATTTTATTAAAAAAAACTTAAATATTTAAAATAAATGCTTTTATGTCAAGACACCATGTCTTGTTAGTGTCATATATGTTAGTAGCAATTTTCTTATAAAATAAAAGTTAAAAAATATATTTAAAATAAGGATAATACTTGTTCAATTGCACAATTACTATAAATTTACTCGCTAAACATTTCCTCAATTCAGTGTAAGTAAGGCGGTTGTGATGTAAAATGCAAAAGTTGCATGCGACTAGTGGTACGGCCGGACACACGTACATAAAACACTCGGCTTTATTTATTAATGTCTTCAGACTGCTTTTTGTAGTACTTACAAGTGGGCTAATTTGTCCAATTTGTCGGTGACTAATGTAAAGTGGGATTTGTAATTGGACGTTTCAAGTAATCGTTTGGTGGGCAGGTCTGTGTCGATTCTAGCGATCGGCCGGTGGGCAGGTCTGTGTCGATTCTAGCGATCGGCCGGTGGGCAGGTCTGTGTCGTTTCGAGCGATCGGCCGGTGGGCAGGTCGGTGTCGTTTCGAGCGATCGGCCGGTGGGCAGGTCTGTGTCGTTTCGAGCGATCGGCCGGTGGGCAGGTCTGTGTCGTTTCGAGCGATCGGCCGGTGGGCAGGTCTGTGTCGTTTCGAGCGATCGGCCGGTGGGCAGGTCTGTGTCGTTTCGAGCGATCGGCCGGTGGGCAGGTCTGTGTCGTTTCGAGCGATCGGCCGGTGGGCAGGTCTGTGTCGTTTCGAGCGATCGGCCGGTGGGCAGGTCTGTGTCGTTTCGAGCGATCGGCCGGTGGGCAGGTCTGTGTCGTTTCCGGCATGCTTACACAAATACCGAACTGTGCCAATTTGACACGGATATGACAATATAGTCATATCAGTGTCTGGTGACGCCGTTGGACAATGGGTCTGAGGTTCGGGTATCGATTAGCACGGGGCGGGCCTGTCACGGCATCAATCGTCGAATCACCCGTCAGCTGACCTACATTAAGTAATTTCACCGCGCTGATTACTATTTAATGTGTACTGTGTTGTGTATCGTCGCATATATGAAAATTGCATCAAAGCGTGTTCCCGTAGCTGCAACCTAAAAATTATAGTTTAATTTTATAATGTACTGAACTGTTGCGTACTATAGTTAAGGATCATTTTACACCGGAATGGCAGCGGCGGGCGGCGACGTGGCGAGTACTTTGTCAGTGTGAGCGGAGTAAAATAATTTTTAACTTTATTTACACACTTAAAGACTAGGGGGTCTACTCTCTTTCTACAAAATTTCGATAACGAAATTTAATTTCGTCAATTTTAGGTTATACTTAATTTGAACGATAAACTATCAAATCGAAGCTTTCTTTATAAAGTAGTTAGTTTAAAAAGTAGTAGGCTTAGAAAATCTACACCTCAATCTATATTCCGACGGCAAATATTGTTATAATTAAAAACGAACCAGAAACATACTACGAAAAGTGCGAAGTTTCGATCGAAATTTCGTTTTTCGTTGAATTTTGTGATTGGGGCAGATGTTTATGTGATGAATACGAGCATTTGTACTCCAGTCATGGATGTTTAATATGTATTTCTTTATAAATATAGTTATATATGTACTGTATATGTATTCTATCCGTTACCCTAGTATCCCATAACACAAGCCTTACAATGCTTACTTTGGGGCTAGGCTAATTGGTGTGTGTTGAAAATATTATTATTATTAATTAGAGTAGGTCTCCAGTATCGGCCGCACAGTCTCCGCGGCCACGTGCGACGCCGCCCGCTCGTGACAAACCGGAACCTTTTCAAGCGATACTCGTCTTTCAGGTGTGAAGATAAAGTGTAAAGTTATTTCACCGCTTCCAATGAGAAAGTGCTCGTCGCGTCGGTATCGGCCGCTGCCTTTACGGTGTGAATTGATCCTTATTAAAATGTAAATTACTAATCGCACGGAAAAATCATTTTATAAGAAAATATAAATCTTTGATTTATTTATTCAAGACTTGAAAAGGATCGGAAACGTAAAGTATAATTAAAAAAGTTTATAAATCGTATGGCCGGCTATTGGGAAAGACCATCCCTTAAAATACCCTTAATATAGATCTCAACAATAGTGGATATTCCCTGATACATCAGAATTACATCTGAAGTATTTTTCAACTTGACGACTCTGTATATAATGTAAAAAAACCCTTGCTGAGTTTCTTGTCGGTTTTTCTCAGTATATGGACTCCCGCCGTAGATTTGCGAACCGATGGCGTAGCTTCTCGACCTTCACAGGTACTTGAAACAGCCTAGATTGAATAAATGATTTTTGTTACTGACCGCTGCATGCGCGTGCGTGGCGAAGGTGCTGCCGCGCACCACGCGCTTGTCGTGCATCACGTTGGAGTAGGGCGCGTGCGCCGGCGCCAGGCTGCCGCTGCAACATAACATCAAACAACGTCAGAAAGATAACCGCAATCAATACATCCCTCTCCATAGAATACCTACTGAAGAACAATGCCTTAAAATGAAACTAAAAAGGAAGGAATAATATGTGGTTTAGGGTTTGGAAGTAGGGCGGGGCCAAGGTTGAAACATGGAATACGTGATTCAATCTTGGCCCCCCCTTGACAATGAAACTAAAAAGTAAGATTTTTTTTTTTATTATAAGTGATTCATGATTTGGATGTCGGACACTTCCAAATCATGAATCACATATATTATTTCTTACTTTTTAGTTTCATTTTTGATTTTAAAGTCGGTTATTTTTTGTTTATAACAACAAGTTCACAAAATAAAAATTATAGTGTTGAACTATTTTTTTTTATTAGGATCAAATGGAAGTTATGTCCTGTAGAACAAAAATTTTATCACGCAAGTCGGATCAGAAATCTTAAGTAAATTAGTGTAAATATAAGCAAGTATCGTGAATTACATCGTCCAAGTAACAAAAATGTTTATAAAATATAAGGTACGAGGCCAAACAAGATCAAATTTATATGGGACCAAAGGGCATTAATTTCACATCGAACAAAAAAAGAATGACATAAATCGGATCAGTAATCTCGGAGTGATCGGTGTACATGTATACAAAAAAAATACCGGCCGAATTGAGAACCTCCTCGTATTTGAAGTCGTTTAAAAATAAGAATTAACATTATTATCCTTTACTTAAATCTAAAGTACAGCATGGCTTGGCATTTTTGCTACATTAACTTGGTCGTAAAAAAAACACATTTCATTACTCATCCATTATACAATAGGACTTGTAGTAACGAAACGGCCAAGCCACATATTTTTGAAGTTGTAGAGTTTGAGAATAGGACTTGTAATTTCAACCGTTTACGCAACGGAAACTCATAGTGGAATATTTTTACTCGTTTTTGCAACATTTTTCATCGAAGCTCCGCTCCTACAATGGTGATTATATAAAGAAAATCATTATGTATGATACAAGCCTGAAAACAAAAACTAAAATGTGCACTAACAGCTCTACACCACAGCGAAGCAAGAGCGGCCCACTAATTACTTATATTTAGATTAATGAGGAAGAACCTAACATTGATAATAATAATTGATATTGTTCTAAATGAATGGAAATTGTATGTCAACAAGGCAGAATATGACTAAGCCAAATAATATTTAATTTTGTAAGTTTGTACAAAATATTATTTATAGCACAGTGTGACCTAAACCCGCACTTTACGCACGCTTTTCCGTGACCTAAGTTGCCTATTTCTGCACGGTGTGTAAATGAATTGACCAACTTCACTCATGTAGAAAAAATAAAAGTAAACACATTTAAATGTCATTTGGAGCTTAAAAACTCACAGCAAACAAATGACAAATTAGCGATAGGTTAGGAATTTTCAGTGACAGCCAAAACAAGGAGAAACGGTTAGCTATAATTCATTCCGCGAGAATTGTATCTTTGTGTAATATATTGTTATGCCAATCAAGGAATAAACATTCATGGATACATTGAAATTCTATTTTGTTGTAATGATATTTGATTTTTTCCTTTTGAAATATACTTTCAAAATGGTAATCTGAACCGGAATTCTTTCTTTTCAGAGTTTGACTTGCAGTCTGTATTGCAATTCTTTGTGATTGCAATACATGAATTTTACTTTCAAAACACTAATCGAACCCCCCCTCTCGCCCGCGTCCGGGGCGGCTTTATGTCACACTTGCTATAAAATAGTATACGATACTTGTGGCCTAAGTTGTCTATTACTGCACGGCGTTTATCACCCTCGCTCCGCTCGGGCGCTAACTTCACGCCGTGCAGTAATAGGCAACTTAGGTCACGCGTATCGTAATGTACTATTACTAACCTGTATTCGCAACAAACATATCATTTCAAATCAAATCGAATGATGATTCCCGAATGATTGGTTTCCTCAATTCACACGTTTGAGAATATATGAATAGGTGAATAGACTAAGACCTACTGAGTCACCTTTAGGTTTTTTCGCGCTCCCACGCACATTTAACATCACCAAGGCTGTCCTTTTTCGAATGATGGCATAAACATCCGTTACGGCTAAACCCTAAAGATGTAAGATTATACTGTAAGGTCCTTTACTAGTAAAACCGGCCCACAGACCGCTCGTATAGCTTAAAGCTTTGGCAGTTTGCTTTAAAAACGGCAGCTTTATGCCTAGGGTGCAACGAATCTCTGTGCAAGTATGTTACTCATAACTCCAGCCGACAGAGCCCGCTCACGTTGAATATAAAAAAACTGTCATTTAGGTCTTCAATTTTTTTTTGACCTGAGTAACACGCTGGTGATTTTAGTAACCAGATGTCTCAAACCACTGATCAATGTGTTCTTGTTAGTAGATAATTATGTATGCGGCATTTGACATGCTTGCTATTGAGCTCATCGATCAGCTGGTTGACATACAAATTAAATAGTGTTGGCGCTGTCAGCACACCTTGCTTCACACATAAACTGTTTCGGTTATTCTCATCAGAACAATTATTGGACCAAGTCTGTAAAGTTTTATAACCTTAATTTACTATGCTAGAGACGTTCTGGACCGTTTCTTGAGAAATTAATAGTTTCGTGAACAATATCTCTTGTACGTCATTTGTTCAACTCGATCGGTTAAGTGAATCATATCAATGTTAAGCTAATCTAAAATTGAAAATTTCTTTGCTTTATAGTATGTATTTATGAAGTGTAGACTACAGTTTTTGTTCTCAGGCTTGTATTATACACAATGACATTCATCTATGATCGATCGTCGGTTTAAAATTGACAAAGTTTAATACAAACTTCTATTCCCTATTTTATCCGCTTGGAGGTAGAATTGATCAAAATCCTTTCTTAGCGGATGCCTACGTCATAACATCCTTCTAGTGGTTTGGGTTTGATAGATCACTATGTCAGTCAGTCACTTTTGAGTTTTATATATATAGATTGTGTCAACATAACCCAGTTAAATTCCCTTTAATTTAATATGAATTGCAACATTTACAATGTTTTGGGAGGTGGGGACCGGGATATTTCTTAGCACGGCTACCTTTTTCGGACTCCTGTCTCACACAATTTTTATAGATTTAACTCCATATGAAGTTTAAATCAGTTCCAAGTTTTTTTATGGAATTATTTCGTAGGAGGATTCTTACATACACATATGATTTTTAAAGCGCATTCAGTTTTATTAATAGCGTATCTATTTGTTGATGATAAGTATAAAAGTTATAGAAATATAATTATATTACGCGAGGTTCAAATAGATTACTCAACGTTGAATATATGTTAAAAAAATAAGTACTTACAACATAAAAAGTCTCTAAATTTCAAAGGGTTTTTGTAACCTATCAGGAATCTAGGTAATAAATTCAATCGATTGAATGTAATTATAAAAAGGAGGGCGAGGAGCTCTAACTCCAATAAAGTACATCAGAGATAAGGAAGCAGACTGTATGGACATTAGCCGCGACCCCGCACCCGGCCCGACCCCGATACTAAGTGATTAAAGCAGTAATCAAAATAACACAGCGTTCACACCTTTGCAGAACTTCAAAAAAAGTTGAAAAGACTCAATAAACTACATACTTTACGAACTTCATTATCTAACAGCAGCTAATAAAATCTGATAGCGCGAAAACGAACGATAATGTTATTGATATTAGGTGCCAGTAGACTCGTCGGGATCGATCGCATGTAACCGAGCTGGCAAACATATATAAAACCAATCGAGCGGGGAGAGTTGATGATGCTACGATATGCGAGTTATACTCCATAGGTAGGTAATCCATCAATGAATTAATGATATTCGGTGTTTCACTGTAACTTTGGAAGCCGAATGAAAATTAATCTATCTCTTATCTATTAGACAAGTCCGTCCGTCCGTCCGTCCGTCCGTGGTGCTGTTTCAGCGGCCAAACCGTAAGAGATAGATAAAGAGAATGTTTAAGTTATAAGTTAAGAATAGTCTGATAAGACTACAAACCGGATTTGAGTAACGTAGCACTTCCGGTTTTCGAGAAATCACGTGATTTCTATTTCAAACGAAACCACACAAAATCTCCGAAGTTCTCAATTAATTAAATACATTTTTTTTGGTGAACATTTGGTTCACTGGTTTGCTAGTTATATTATAATAAATTAAGTATGATTGACATACAGTTGGTCCCTCTGTTCTACGAGGCGGTGCATGCCGACCACGCCGGCGACGAGCGCGCGCACGCCGCTGAACACGTTGCCGGCGTGCAGCCGCCGCGCCGCCGCCGCCGCCGCCGCGGAGGCCCCGGGGCCTGACTTCGTCGATGTGTCGTTCGGTTCGCCGTCCTTCTTGTCTGTCACCGAGCGCTTCTGCCGCGCCACCACCGCCTTCGGCTTGCTGGCATACGAGTATACAATTTTCTCCCGCTCCCGAGGGGGGTACAACGTTTGGAGACCCAGCAGGTTCGCCACTTCCGGCGGGGGCAGAAGAAACTGGCCAGTTTTGACGGTGGTGATGAATCTCGGCTTGTCTCCGTCGTTCGAGCCGGATATTTTGCGCAGGCGGTTCTTCCACCCCGGCGGGGACGGCGACTTGTTCATCTTCGGAGCGATGTCGGCGTCGTCGTCGTCGGGCCGTATGACGTCTATCCGCGGGTGAGACCGGCTGTGTTTCCCGGGGGAGGTTCGGTCCAGCAGGCTGACGTTCGGGTCGGAGGCGGCGAGCCCGTTCCGCGGACGAAAGCGGGTCGGGCGGCGGAGGTTCGCCTGGAGGATCTCCTTCTCCTTGAGGCGGCGGAGTTTGAAGTCGAGGGCGCGCGAAAATTTCGGGTCGAGGAGAGTGCGCGCCGCGGGCTGTGCGCCCATCGCAGGGGCGGGGGCGGGCGCGGGGACGGGGCCGGGGCCGGCGGTGGCGGCGGCGGCGGCGGCGGCGGCGGAGGAGACGACGGGCGCACGCGGCTGCGGGCGGACCACGTTCACGGAGCGGCTGGACGGCTGCAAGCCCTCGCGCGGCTTCTCCTCCTCATGGTTGAGGACGGTGAAGGCGCTGGTGACGTCGGCCGGCAGGTTCGCCTCCGGCATGGTATCACGTCATGCTCGCGTGTCGCGGCGAGGGGAGGGTGTCGCCGGAGGGGCGCACGTGTCGCGGCGAGGGGAGGGCAGGGTGTCGCCGGACGGGCGCGCGTGTCCGGCGGGCGAGCGGCGACCACTGCCGGCCGGTCAGCGGCGGCGACGCGGCTCCTGCGGCATGTGGACAGCGCACGCGCCACGTGCTCCGCCGGCATACCCACCGCGCCGGGTAAACATTACAAACTAGGGAACCGCTCATGATTACACCTTATACGATATTGGAGTCATAAAGATAAGGAAAATCATACATTCCATGTCGCGCACCCACACTTTTCGAATGGGTTTTCTTTTTATTGAACAAAAATTTCCACGAACGTAAACATCAAAGGTATCGAGTAGACAGCTAATTAATAACGTAATGACATTCAGATTTTCGTGTATTTATTTAACGGCTTGTAACGTTAACCTCCTCCACAAATTAAGAATATGATGGACATAATAATATAACAGGGCGTGCCTACAGCGTCCAGCTGACGGTTCCGTAGCGTCTCCGTGGGATATGTCACCTGTGCCGGCAGAGGACATTGAGCCGATATTTTTGGTATCTGTTAGAAATTGAATACCTAGTAACTATTCAATAATGCACACTACAGGTAATACTTGGTTATATTTTACTTTCAACTACAACTTTCTGAAATGTTAATTTGGAATTCGGTACAAGGGACTCGTGCCCTATGAGTTTTTTAATATTCGTTCGACTACCGGTTCTTTCGCCCGCAGCCTTAGTTTGTGTAATGTGTCGTTTGAATTGGTCTTAAAAAAAATCTTGCGGTAGTGGAAATCAATTTATGAGATTAAGCGGGATCCGTTTAGTGAAAAATAAGCTATTATTATTACTTGCAATCATGGTGAGAACTCCTCATTACCGATTTGCTTTTCGGGATACGTTAGTCGGTTGGAGTTGAATGTAGTTGAGTTCGCGCGTGAAAGGCCAGGTGGTGAACACCTACTCCCCACAGTGACCCACTGACACTGGCGTCAGGCGTCACCCCTGACCGAGTGTCACTAGCACTTATTATAATTTCATTGATTGCAATTCAATAATTTCAGGTCGGATAGATTCACTGTTTGACAATACAATAGGTTTGTTATCACAGAACACAAAAAAGGTTAGTAGGGCCTTGTGGACGGGGCAGACGTGCCACAGTTATGTTTTGAGCAAATGCTCATAACTTGATCAAAACTTGGTTCTGATTGCGTCGTTGCTCTCGGGTGTGAGAGCTGACTGGTTCGATTGTTTTATGTCACGTCGTCTGATTGGCTATTATCTATAAGACTGAAGTGTAGTGGAGGCGAGCCGGCGACATCGGCTCCCGTACAAACGGTCTATGATTACCCTTCTAACCTCTTTCTGTGTTTGTAACCAAATTAAGAGCTGGTTTCCACTTGTCGGGTGTCGGATCCGTATATTAATAGGATGTCGGTGCCTTTGTTCACACACACGATTAATAATCGGTTAATTGTCGGTCACGGTTGAAGCTTTAACCAATTTTACAGACAGCCAAGGAAAGAAAATATTGGGTGCACCCAATCCTGAGATTTAGTTTGGGAACATTTCAGAACTTAATAACTGAATTGAGAAGTGACGAAATTAAGTTTTTCAATTATTTTAGAATGTCGATAAGTACATTCAACCATCTATTGGCTCAAATATCAGTGAGCATAAACTACCAAAATACAAAGCGGGAAGAGGGTTATCGGCCCCGACACCCGACAAATGTGAACAGCGCCATTCTTAATCATAGGCGAGCGAGAGCCGACACGATTTTTTTCCGGGCGTAGAGGGCTGGCCAAACACCCGACATTTCTTGTCGGAGCGAACACAAAATTGGTTTCCGATAAGTGTGAATTAGCTTCTTATAAAATGCTCTGCCACTGGAACCTCCGATTAATATACGGATCAGACACCCGACAAGTGGGAACGAGCAGTAAGTCTAGTGGGGGCGAGCCGGCGACATCGGTTCCCGTACAAACGGTCTATGACCACCCTTCTAACCTCTTTCTGTGTCTGTAACCAAACTAGAACACATTTACTGACAAATATGTTGAGTAATGCTGCATTTGCGCACAATAATCTAATATCGTTGCATAAAAATTGTACAACACTGATTTTTGAAGTTATACTTCTTTAGGCGCGTTATGAAAAAATGATGAGAGTGAAATTTTAAGATGCGCGCGCATCACTGTAACACAAAATTTTGACAGTAGCGACCAACTTCATGCGTTACTTTTGTGTTTACCGCACATTAAGAAAATCTACCAACAAAATAGAAATAGAATCTCTATTTAGTGGGTGCTAACGACTGCATTGTGAATGCCTATCAAAAGTATTTATTAATCTGGAACAACGGAACCAAAGCGCGATTCAGGAGACTACAGCGCCATCTCTTGACCATTGGTGTAGTAGAACCAAAAACCACATCTTTATTCTTTATTTGTAATAAAGTAACAGTTATAGGTATTCATATTTATAATATCAAAAGTATTTATTAATCTGGAACAACGGAACCAAAGCGCGATTCAGGAGACTACAGCGCCATCTCTTGACCATTGGTGTAGTAGAACAAAAAACCACATCTTTATTTTTTGTAATAAAGTAACAGTTATAATCACATATGTTCTAATAAATTATATTCATTAGCGATTTTAATTTAATATTTTGATTATTTATTTATTTTTTCAAATTAAAACTGAACTTTATTGACTGTGTCCTTTTCCAGACTTTTTATTAATTTATTGTAATTAATTATTTGCATGCAATTAAAAACTAATTTTAAACGATGCCAAAGAAGGATAACTTCTCACGCGCCTACATAAGTACACGCACCCATTTTTTGGGTTGAGAAACTTTCTAATAGTTATTGCACTTTATCAAAGTGGCTTTTTTACGCGACTACTTGTTCTGGAACCTGAGCAAGCGGAGAATTGAGCGTAGTCATGGGTTTAAGTTACGAGACGCAGATTAACTTTGCTGCCGAGTAAAACACACATTTTTTCACACCACAAAGGCACCTACTTATACTCTACTTACCTTACTATGTAAGAGATAACCATGAGATAGTATTGTTTGCGGATGATACATCACTTTTATTTAAACTCAAACGCAAGGTAAAAGTTATTTATGACGTGAACAATTGTATCTCTAAGGTAGTCCACTGGTTCAATGTTAACAATTTATTACTTAATGAAGGAAAAACGAAATGTATGAAATTTGTATTACCCAATGTAAAACAGGTAAAAACCAGTGTGAATGTAAAGGATAGGAATGTGGGCCTTGTAGACACCACAGTATTCTTAGGGATAACTTTAGATTCTAAGCTTCAATGGGGCCCACATATTGATAAATTGTCAAATAGACTTAGCTCTGCAGCATATGCCGTAATGAAGAAACGCCAGTTAACGGAGGTAGATACGGCCAGATTAGTGTACTTTAGTTATTTCCATAGTGTAATGTCGTACGGAATTTTATTGTGGGGAAATGCCGCCGACATTCAAACTATTTTTGTGCTGCAGAAGAGAGCTATTCGATCAATTTATAATCTTAAAGTTAAAGAATCATTAAGAGATAAGTTTAAAGAATTTGGAATAATGACGGTCGCATCACAATACATATACGAAAATTTATTACTTGTAAGAAAAAATATTAATTTGTTTCTTAAAAACAGTGATGTTTACACAATTAATACAAGAAACAAAAATAAACTAACTTTACCTGCTACTAGGCTTCACAAAATTAATAATTCATTTAAAGGTCTTTGTGTTCGCATATACAATAAAGTCCCAAGCAATATCCAAGAGTTAGCCATAAATAAATTTAAAGATATTATAAAAAAAATACTTATTAAAAAAGCTTATTACAAAGTGTCTGATTATATTACAGAAAAAAATGCTTGGGTTTGAACTGTTCCAATCATTCCAACAGGTTTTCTATATTAAATAAATCATAATTGTATTGACGTTGTAACAACATAATGATTTGTAAATGTTGTTACATTAGACTTTTAATGTTGTGGAGTTTTTTTTCGCTCGTTTTTCTCCGCAGCTAAAAAAATATGTCCATAACGAGTGGTAGGGAAAAAAATTTTTGTACGATTCGAGAGACGAGTAGAAGAGTTGTACTATACATCCAATTTGGATTGATTTCTGATTTCTACTTTGCGGAGCCCTGGAACATTACGAATTACCAGAAACACAACACCATCAAAAAGTTTTTTGACACTGCAGAACAATTTCACAGTTAGTTTGTAACTTCCCCAAACTGGTACTCCAATTCAAGCGGCAAATCTGCTACCTCATCTCTGTTAACAATAAATTGACGTCAGAGAACCGCTGTTTGAGCATTAAAACATGGTAACATTCTCGTAAAGGTAGAAGAAGATGGGCTGACAGTAGTTAGCAGGCCAACGATGTTATCATTGGCATGGATCATGTACGAGTCATCGTACTAATTAAGCTTAAACACCGTAGTATAAGCATAACAGCTATACATACTTCTCACGCAAACGAAGCAATAAATTATTATGTTTTGTATAACTACTTAATTATTGAAATAAACTCAGTGCGAATGACGCATTCATCAGCATCGCGAGTATCATTTAACCTTTATCATTGATCAATATTGTCATCATCAGCCTATTAATGTCCCCACTGCTGGGGCACAGACCTTCCCTATGGATGGAATAGGGAGATTGGGCCAGGACTCACCACGCGGGCCCAGTGCGGATTGGTGGGTGCTAACGACTGCAGATGCAAGCGGGACCAACGGCTTAACGTGCCTTCCGAAGCACGGAGGAGCTCGAGTAAATTTTTGGTCACCCATCCAATGACCGACCACTGCGAAAGTTGCTTAACTTCAACGATCGCAGCCGAACGCGCTAACCAGTTGCGCCATCGAGCTCCTCTCAATCTCCTCTCAAGATGAATATTGTATCAAATTTAATATCATTTATTTAATATTAATATCATACTAATTGCATGGGAGCACCCTACAGATCAGATAAATATGAATACCGTGAAGAACAGTGACGCATTCTGTGTCACTGCATATCACTCCACCAGCCGTACTATTTTAAAAAACATGTCCAATGTAGTGATTATAGTGAAATTGTGTCACAGCAGCGCCGCGCCGAGCGTTTGACAAGCGCATGCAACAATAACACTTTGTCGGCGAG